TTCTATTCAACATAGTGCTGGAAGTCCTGGTTACAGCAATCAGACAGGACAGTAGAATTAAAGGTATCCAAATTGGGGCAGAAGAGATCAAATTTTCACTGTTTACTGATGATATGATATTATATTTAGAAACCCCTAAAGATTCAACCAAGAAACTCCTAGAACTGATAAATGAATTTAGTAAAGTCTCAGGATACAAAATCAATACACAGAAATCAGAGGCATTCATATACACCAACAAAAATCAAATTGAGAACTAAATCAAAGGCTCAATTACCTTAATAATAGCAACAAAGAAAATAAAGTACCTAGGAATATACTTCACCAAGGAAGTAAAAGACCTCTACAGGGAGAACTATGAAACACTGAGGAAGGAAATAGCAGAGGATGTAAACAGATGGAAATCCATACCATGTTCATGGGTCGGGAGACTCAACATCATTAAAATGTCTATACTACCCAAACTGATCTATAGATTCAATGCAATACCTATTAAAATCCCATCAGCATTCTTCACAGATATAGAAAAAATAATTTTACGCTTCGTTTGGAACCAGAGAAGACCCCGCATATCAAGAATAATTCTAGGCAATAAAAACAAAATGGGAGGTATTAATATGCCAGATATCAATTATACTACAAAGCTGTAGTAATTAAATCAATCTGGTATTGGCACAAAAATAGGAATATTGACCAGTGGAACAAATCTGAGAATCCTGATATAAAACCATCCTCATATAGCCATCTAATCTTTGACAAAGCAGACAAAAACATACACTGGGGAAAACAATCCCTTTTCAATAAATGGTGCTGGGAAAACTGGATAGCCACTTATAGAAAGCTAAAGCAGGATCCACACCTTTCACCTCTCACAAAAATCGACTCACACCGGATAACAGACTTAAACCTAAGGTATGAAACTATTAGAATTCTAGAGGAAAGTGTTGGAAATACTCTCCTAGACATCAGCCTAGGCAAAGAATTTATGAAGAAGACACCAAAGGCAATCACAGCAGCAACAAAAATAATGGGACCTGCTCAAATTAAAAAGCTTCTGCACAGCCAAAGAAACTGTCCAGAGAGCAAACAGACAACCCACAGAATGGGAGAAAATTTTCACAAGCTACACATCTGATGAAGGGCTGATAACTATAATTTATTTAGAACTCAGGAAAATCAGCAAGGAAAAATCAAACAACCCTATCAAAAAGTGGGCAAAGGACTTGAACAGAAATTTTTCAAAAGAAGACAGAATGGCCAACAAGCATATGAAAAAATGCTCAACATCTCTAATCATCAGGGAAATGCAAATGAAAGCTACAATGAGATATCACTTAACTCCAGTGAGAATGGCCTTTATAAAAAAGTCCCCAAACAATAAATGCTGGTGTGGATGCGGAGAGATAGGAACACTCCTACACTGCTGGTGGAACTGCGAACTAGTTCAACCTCTTTGGAAAGCAATATGGAGATACCTTAAAGCTATACAAGTGTATCTACCATTTGATCCAGCAATCCCATTACTGGGCACCTACCCAAAAGATCCAATGACACTCTACAAAAAAGGTATCTGCACTCGAATGTTCATAGCAGCACAATTCACAATTGCAAAGTTGTGGAAACAAGCCAAATGTCCATCAATCCATGAGTGGATTAATAAAATGTGGTATGTATATATATATACACATATATACATATATATATACACATATACATATGTATATATATGTATATACATATGTATATACACATATACATATATGTATATATACGTATATATACATATGTATATATATGTATATATGTGTGTGTGTATATATATATATATACCATGGAGTACTATTCAGCTCTAAGAAACAACAGTGATATAGCACACCTGTATTCTCCTGGTTAGAGCTGGAACCCATACTACTAAGTGAAGTATTCCAAGAATAAAAAAACAAGCACCACATATACTCACCAGCAAACTGGTTATTAACTGAGCAGCACCTAAGTGGGCACATAGGAACTACAGCAATTGGGTACTGGGCGGGTGGATGGGGGGAGGGGGCAGGTGTATGCATACATAATGAGTGAGATGTGCACCGTCTGGGGGATGGTCACTCTTGAAGCTCAGACTTGTGGGGGAAGGAGGTCAAGGGCATTGTTTGAAACCTTAAAATTTGTACCCCTATAATATGCACAGTGCAAGTGAGATGAACACTGTGGAATTGACAAGTCTCTTGCAAGTTTCACTGGCAAAAAGAAAACAACTGTGCATGATAAAAGAGACCAGTGAGAAGTGCAGCACTGAGCTGCTGTGTGAAATTAGGGAACAGGGGGATCTGGAATCCAGGAACCGGGCAAAGAGTACATTTCTTGGGACTGTGTGAATGAAATGCCAGGAGCTATATGTTGTGGCCCTCTTCCCACAATTAGCTTTTTGCTGGTGGCAGGAAACAATCTCAAAATCTCAGGAGCTTAAACAACAAACATTTACTTCTTACTTATGGGTACTGACTGTGGCACTGCCCAGCTTGGCTGGGTTCCTGACATCAGCTAGGCTTGAGTTCAGATCTCCACCATGTGTGTCTCCTTCTGAGACACAGGCTGAAGAAGTAGCCGCTATCTAACCATACTCTCCCCAGGGAAGATGCCAAGAGTGCAAGAGGGTGATGGGCTTCTGCTAGAAAAAAAAGTATCCTGTCACTTCCATGCACCTTTGAAAATTAGAAAAATGTGCCCTTTCTTTGTTTGACACAGACCTGTGTCAAAGCACATGGTTTGGCCAGCTTTGCTCCCTCCAAGAATGTGTACTAAGTTTGCACAACCTTGTGACATAAGCCTAAATTAGTAAGGGAAAGAAGGAGAACTCAAGTTTGAGGACTTCATTTATCAAGAAGTGTGTTCCTTCCAAGCTGACCACAGGAGTGGAAAAAGTAGTCTATTTATATGATCGCTTAAAGAAGTTTAAATGTTTACCTGAAGTTGAGTATGTATTAAACAGTTGTTTCCTGTTGTCAAACTTCTTAAAGGAAAAGTAAATGTGTTCTATTTTAGATATTACCAGACACATTCTCAATTTGACAATATTCTAAGAGTTGAAATACTTGAGAGAATTCACAAAAATGCTCCTAGAGATGTCTCAGTAATGGAGAAGCTGTGCTGGCAATTAAACTCAGGTCAAATATCTGTGCACTATATCTGTACTACAATATACCATCTCAGAGTACACATTTTCCCCAATGAGTAGTCAACAGAAATTCAATTATAAAATACATAAAGTCCTTTCTCTGTCCCACCTAAGTTCTCATTAGATACCCCATGTAAAAATTCCACCTAGTCTTCAAGACCCAATTCAAATCTTATCTACCCCACCAGTGTTAACCTCGTGGTGACTTCCACAAATGACCTCTTTCTCCCCCCTCAGATTCTTGGATGTGTGGTTCTGCCTTTAATATGAATTAATTTTTTTTATCATAGTTGTATAAGTTTTGATTGGAAGACCCAGAAAAACCCTACTTATCCTTCAAGCCTGGCCAAAGAGTTTCTTTTTTGTAATTACTCTGACTTTCCCTAATCTACTCCAGGTAATTTATCACTCCCTTCTTCTCTGCTAACAGTAAAGGTACACTACACATGTTCTGACTCTCATTTACCAAGTTGAGAAAGACTTAGGGAAAACTAAACATTTGTGAGATCACTGAAGGCACAGAATATGAAAATATCTTTTTTTCAACTTTACTCCCCAGCATATAACACAGAATCCAGATCATGGTTCTCAGCCTCAGCACTATTGAACATTTGGGCCAGCTAATTACATATGAGGGCTGTCCTGCACATGGTAGGCTATTTAGCAGTATTGCTCACCAGTCCTGACAATTAAAAATCTCTCCAGATATTGTCAAATGTCCTCTGGGAGGGCAAAATTGCTCTCAGTTAAGAATCACTGATTGAAACCATAGTGGAAGTTAAGTGTTTGTTGACTTGATGTCAGGAATTGGCAGATTTTTTCTTCTACTTTAGCTCTTCAATATTATCTAGCACTAGAAAGGAGTTAAATATATTTAAATGAATGAGTGGTTTAAGTAAGTTTCAAATAATACTAAAATCTTCCATTTGAGCCATTTAAAAAGAGAGTTTACAAGGATGATATATATTCATCCATTCATGACAGAGATTGTGTGGTATATTGGTTAATGGCACAAATTCTGTCATTAGACTGGCAAGGTTCAAATTCACAGAGCATGAGTTTATATTCCAGCTTCCTATCTCAGTAACCTTGAACAAGTCATTGAACTATGCTGTACCACAATGTCTTCATCTTAAAATGAGGATATGGTATTCTCTACTTCAACAAGAATGTGTGAAGATCATATGAGTTAAGATAGGTAAAGCTCTTGGAACAATGGCTGACAAGTATCAGTTTTTATTATTATGAATTAAGCAAACTGAATATCTGCCATATATCAGGCATTTTACTAGTGGTAGGGAACACAAAGTTCAAGCTCTCATGGAGCTTGCATTCCAAAAGGCAAAGAGGAAAAGAACAGACAGTAATGTATTAGAAGTTACAGAACGACAGAGTGGCCTCTGGGGTCCCTTGAGGAGCTGTCCTTAGGCAACAGCTAAAGGAAGAGTCTTCCAGGGAAGAGTCCTGAAGCCAGACCATGCTTAATATGTTTAAGTTACAGCAAGGAGCACAGGGAAAACTGCATACAATGCCCCGTGTTTTTAAAAAGAAAAATGTAAAATTGTACATTCTCTTTGACAAAAATAAGCAAATTTTAAAAGACTAAAAAACAATGCCAAAAATTTAATAAATGTTTCATTTGGGTAATGAGGCATTGGATTATGTATTGTCTTTCTTTCTTTTCTATTAATATAATACCCAAGTTTCCTGAATAGGTATTAAAGTACTGTTGTATTGCAAAAAAATCAAAAAGGCTTTGTCAATGAAAGTACTTGCAAAGAAAAGAGAATTTTGATTTACACAGGATAATTTATAATTTTTTCCTCCATTTTGTAGCTGAGATGTTAGTATTTTTATTTTATTTAAATGTTCCAATACATGCATAACACAGTTTACTCTCACCAGTATCTCATTCAATATTTTAACCACAAATTTTTCTCTGCCTATAAACTGAACACGAATTCTATCTTTTCAGCTGATGGTTCATGATACAGATGTTTACGCCTTCTAAGGTAAAAAAAAAAAATTCTTCTCCATTTAACAAACTTTTCTTCAAATGAGTAGTCAGCAAAAATGTTGTGATAGTTCACTTAATAGCTCTTTTAAAATATGCTTTTTTAATCCAAGGAATCAGCAAAGGATTTGCAGAAATGGTTGCACATCTAGAAAACAAATGATATTTGTAATGTCTTCATTTATGTTTAAATATTTTCACTCCTAAGTATATTTCTTCAATTCTATGCCTCAGCAACAACAGAATAATAATTTAGCATTGATACTTCTTTATTCTATAGTTGTTTTTATAAAAATTATTAAGTTGTCCCCTTTGAATCTGACAGTAATAGAACTTTTTAAGTTTACCATCTTTTGCTGTGTCTTTTGGTAATTTTCTTGATGTAATATTTCTGTTATGTTTTAAAACATATAAAGATTAACATTTTGCAAGAAATTGGCAAAATAGATTGCAGTATAGAATTACTGCGGGTGGTTTTAAATGTTTACCCTCAGGATACACTCAAAATGTAGGAACAATATTTCTATAGTTTCTACTGCTTTAGTTCCCTGAAGAAATGACATGTAAACATAGAAATTCTTTACTTTTTATAGTTGTGTAGACATTTCAAAAAGAATAAGAGTAGACAAGGAGGAAATAAGGGTATAGATTAAGAGGAATTCAGGGACATTCTCTTTTAAGTATATTCACCTGTAGTCAATAGGGCTAGGCATAGTTGTAAGCATCATTACTATAGACTTGGAGGATAGAGAAGGTTTGAACAGTTGTGACATTTATATGATCTCCTATTGCCTCCATGCTCCCTCTTTGCCCTAACTTTTTCTTGTTTATGGTTGTGTAGGAGTGTGGTTGCTGGTGAATACAGAGGATAGCTCTAAGAATTGTTCTTTAATCCAACTGAAAAAAGTCAGGGTAAGACATATTCACCCAAAAAAAGGCTATGTATTTACAGACTTAAAATAATTGTATGTATTTTTGAAAATGAACACCAAAAATTATTTTAGTTGATGCATTGTAAATTTAGTTCTTCACAGTGTTACTTAATTTTAAACTTTATGTAAGATTTGGTATATATTAACCATTACCAAATGGGCTTATTTTAAGTATTTTTATAAAAATTTTATTATAGTTTTATATCTATTAAAATATCTATGTGCAAAATTTTGTCTTTTATAACTAGTCAAGAGACTACAGATAAAAAAGATCTTAATCATTCAGTATATCTTTACATCACACCTTTACCTTTTTAGTCAACAGACTAAAAAGAGGTATGAGGATATTTTAATCACAAATATTCTTAAGAACAGTTATTAAAAATATCTGGCATTTCAAATTATAAGAAAATTTCAATTTCAAATTTAAGAAGCTTGTTTCCTTTCCTAAAACAAACAAACAAACAAAAAGCAACAAGAAAAACTTGTTCAGTATTTTCTTACCTTCCTTCAGTTCTTTGATATCACATGTAGTGTCCAAAGTTATCTATTTAGTACAATTCATCTGTTTGCTGTTTTCCTTCATTCCATAATTAGAAATTAATTGATAGTATCTATCCATAAAGAGAAATTATGTATGAATTCCAGCAATCACAAAAATTTAATTCATAAAATAATTATTTAAAAAAAAAAAAAAACTGAGGCACTGTCCAGTGCCTTCCCAAGTATGTCAGTTCCTCCCTCAAGCTTCTCCTCAAGTCAACTCTGTCAACAGACATCATTTTAATTCCATGTACTCCCATTCTCTGGTACCTCTTTTCTTTCTGCTATCACAAATATGATTTTTTTTAAGTCACTAACAAAATAGAAGAAATGGCTTTATGTTTTACTTGGTGTTTTCATTTGTTAGGACTGCAATAACAAAACACTACAGACTTAATGGCTTAAACAAAACCTTATTTTCTCACAGTTCTGTAGGCTGAAAGTTTATCAAGGTGCTGGTAGGGTTAGTTTCCCCTAAGGGCCATAAGGGAAGAATCTGTTCCAGGCCTCTCCACATCTAGTAGATGACTGTCCTCCTTCACTTAAGTCATCCTTCTGAGTATGAGCACTTTTGGTGTTTCTCTTTATGTCCTAATCTCCTCTTTTTGTAAGGATACCAGCTAGACTAAATTAGGGCCCACCCTAATTGCCTCACTGTAACTTAATCACCTCTTTAAACTTATATATCTCCAAATATAGTCCCCTTCTCAAGTACTAGGGTGACGGCTTTCACATATGAAGTTTGAAGGAACAAAATTCAACTCATAGCAGTTGGGTTGAATAGTAAATTAACAAAGTGAAGACAATTAACTTAGTCAGAGACTGAAACACACCCAGTGAAGAATAAACCATTCTCCGAGACTGAAAAGAGCCCATTCTAGTAACTCATTAGCAGCCATAAGGTTTCAGAATTTCAGTGAAAGGAATGAGGAAATGTATGTGTTAAAGCTAACTGTAAAATAAATGCCTAAATATAATTCCCTCATCTGTGACACTGTTACTTATTTTTAAAAACTATGTAAGAAACATTGTCTATACTTCCACTTTAGTAAGCCACAGAACCTACTTACTAGGGAAGAGCACCAACAAATAATCCCATTAAACACAGGTAGCTGCTTAAGTATGTTAGGCAACAGACGCTTCAGCAACAAAAGTCACAATCACAGAAAGCTTAGGTCCCATTGCATGGAGGGACAAAATACAGGAAAAGGAATGGAAGAATTAGACCGTAGCTTGCAAGAGTCATTTCCAATTTTTATTAAACGCTGATCATTCCCACATCTTATAGGTAATTGCTTAGTCATTGAGAAACTACCTCTCTTCCCTTTCACCTCTTTGAAAAAAAGAAAAAACGTAATTCCCTTAGAATTTTCAAAATTGAAAAAATTAAAATATAGAGAGGATAAAAACTTCATGGTCAACATGCTCCTATTTATTCTTCAGTTAATGATGGAGCAATCTACAAAAAGAATTCCTAAAAGCCATTTGGGGAAGATGAAAAAAGTCTCTGAGATTTCCTTCCCATCAAACTACCCAATAATGGCTTCTTAAAACTTATTTATGTAAACAAGTTATTTCAAATATATAGTACTGTTTTTTGATCAATGGATAGATTATTGAACAGATACATGTGTCTCCTAGTTTCATATACCCAAATTTTTTAAGTGATGGTGAAAATTTCAGATTTAAGAAGAATCGTTTGGGATCTCATTCATAGAGGGAAAAAATCCTTTTATAGTATGAATATTCACCAGTTATTTATCTCTTTATTTAAATTTTTATTCATATGGTTCGATTAAAGTAAGGTAAAACAAGATACACATGTTCAATATTACAAAGAACAAAATACTGTATTCAATTATGGTTCATTTAATAAAATATGAATTCTTTAGTGTGTAAAGATCAATCAAGACTTTAAAAATAAACATTTGTATGTATGTATTTGATTATTTTTCTTCCCCCTACTTATGCTTTTCATATGGAATTAATGATAAAAAGTATTGCTAAAATATGAATAAAGTAGGTAGAATAACAATAAACCAAAACTACCTATGCATAATTAAAAATTGTTCTTAAAATAAAATTATTTTTAAAAATCCTATATGTTTAACTTCATTTGCTATAAATTAAATTTCTATTCATTGTATCTTGTTTTCTCATTAACTATTAAAAATCAGAAATTCATGTTCATAATGAAACTGTTTTTTTTTTCTGGGTATAATGAAAATATACTTAAGAATTCTGAAAACTTACCATACTAAAGTTAACTAATGAAACATTGACAATCATATTCAAAGCATGAATAAAATCCTTACATTACTAATATCTAAAGACAATAAAAGGGCATTGTGTGAAGGAATCATCTTTTGCCCAAATCTACTGCACATATGTTGATTAATGGCTATGTTACTAGAAACCTGAACCCCTGGTCCTGACATACTTCCCATTCTCATATCCTGGTAGTTAATCTGTACACTTGGCTCATCTTTACCTTTTATACTGATTATACCCTACGGAATGGAGGAAATCAATAATCCCTAGATCCACAGATCTGCTTACCTGCTGCTGAGCCTATTACACCTTTGTACTTTGGGCTTCATGCTTTATTCTTACAATTAAACCCTAAACAACTGTTAAAAGATATGCAGTATCACTTACACAGTAAAACCATTAAAAGAAGCATATTCCTCAGCTGTGAATCCATAAATATCTTGACAAGATAGATCCACATCTTGCTGAAGAAGAATATTTACTAAACTTGTTGGTTCATTACTGATAGCAATCATAAGGGCTGTTCTGGAACAAGAGATATAAATAAATGTCCATTTATGGATCTTAGGCATATCATTTTTTTAAGTCAGTCTTCTCAATTTACTATTCAAATGTAGGATATCAGGAAAAGAGTCAAAGCAAAAATGTAAAAAATGGGACAGATCTGCTCAAAAAAGTGAGCCAATCATAGATTATATCACAAAGTCTAAAGATAAAGAGTCCCTAGGAAGTGGCTGGGTCAATAGTTTTCAATCTCTGCTCCCTGGAAGCCTAGTGTTTTCAAGAATATATCTTAAAATTCCATGAAGGCAAGTGTCTGGGGCTTTGTGTCCCCTACCCCCATTTAACTAAAATAGTTGGTCTTCTGTGTAAGATTCTAATGTTATAAATAACAATAATTAATCATAATAACCAACCAATCTGGTCCAAGTGTTTGATTTTATAAATAGAAAAACAGATCCTGGGAGTCTATGTAATTTGCCCAAAATCATATGTCATATGGCCTTATATTTTTCTAATTTCTAATTTTTAGGTAGCTGTAGTTATAGGCTATCTTATCTAGCTTTATTAATTATACCTTTGATTGTTATCTGTAGCATTCACATCTGCCCCTTTCCTCAGAAGAAATTTTACCATTTCTTCATTATTTTCACTAACAGCAAGTAAAAGTGGAGTATACCCATCCTAAAAAAAAAAAAAAAAAAACTTCAAAATGATTATTTAAAATACTGTACTAAAGTTACACATCTTTCAGATTTAAATTCAATTTAAAAAATAAGTGTGCTTATAAGAAACCTCTGAATATATACATTAACTCTTAAAAGATTTTGATACACAATAAAAGATGATTCTAAAGATCAAGAAAACAAAGTTGGGCCAGCCAAAAATAATTAAATTTCTAATTTAGGCTTAATTCAGATTGTGAGCAATAGCAGCCTAGAATAATTAAGTGATGACCAACATACATATCACCAATTCACATTTCATAATTTCATAACAGGTTTCCATGGGGTTTCATTTAAATCTCCAAAACTGGCATTTATTTTGAACAGTCATATATATAAAATATCAGTAAACTAAAGTGTTTAGATGCTTTTTTAAAAAAAGTATTTATCAGTTATCTATAATGTCTCAATAGGATAGTTAGATTACTTGTAATATAATTTGATAATTCAATCCTATACTTTTTATTATTCATGAGAATAGAATAGAAAAAAGTGTGGGTTTTATCATTTTTATCAATATCGACTTATAAGGGAATCAAATATTTCTCATTTGATATGGCCCTTTGCACAATTATCATTTGTAAATATGACGTTACTTTGGAGGTCAGCATTACAATCTGCAATGAAATGGATGAAGACTTTAAAGGAAGAAAAATTCTGTCAGTTTTTTATAATCTCATCTCCTTCCCAGTTTCAATTTGGAAAATTCATTCTTTATATGACATGTATTTCAACATATATTAGTTGTCTGAAATACATACCTTCTTTCTAAAATGTAAGTTTTTTTTCTTTAATGGAAACCTACCTTATTTTTAGCTTCTAGATTAGCTTTGTGTTTAAGCAACTTTTCAACTAATGAGACACTTTGACCACAGACAGCATAATGTAGAGCAGTATTATGATTAAAATCCACCAGTTCTGGGTCTGCACCACAGCTTAGAAGAACAGTAACACAATCCTCCCTTTGACATTGTACTGCCTGTCAATGCAACAAGAATAGATGAGTAATCAATTTACTATTTAAGATATGATAAATTAATATTTAATACTATGTTTTAAAGAATGAAATTCAACAAAAATTAACTAAGAGAACTCAAACACATTCAAATTGAAAAGGAAAGATTATAATGTACCTTAATCAATGGAGATCTGTTTTCACTATCCAGGACATTTATTTCACATTGTTTCTCAATTAGGAGACATACGATATTCATATATCCATTAGCACAGGCCAAGTGCAAAGGTGTTCTATATCAATATAATAAAACACAAAGTTAGAGATAAGTATTTGTTCAATAAGTTACTTATTATATATTGTTAAGGTGTTTGATTCATACGTTAGTTATATTTACACAAAATTTACAGTAATTACAATTGCTTTTTACTGAATTTAAAAGGCTGTGTAAATGCCTTAAAGATCAAATATTTAACTGGTTTCACTTTAAGGAAAACTTAACTATAATGACTTGAAAAATACATTGGAAAGGATGATAAAATAAGGTATCACAATAAAATTTAGGAATTGTATTTAAAACCTGAGTTGCATCCAGTAGGTAAGACAAAGAAAAGACTTTGCCTATTCGATGGCATGCTACCCCTAATTGTGTGTTTCTTTCTATTTGGCCCGCTATTAAAGCTGGCATTTGCATCCAAGAAATGAACACAAAGGTCAAAGCCTATGGAACCTCTAAGTTGTAGATCTCTACCTACCTCATTTTAAGTTATTACTCTAGTTTCTATTTCTCAAATAACGCCACTCTAGGTAGCCTACCAGAAATGAAGCACACATTTATGAAGTATGACAGAATACCAATTAATTACATTTTAACTTGCAGTTTTTAGACTGGACTGGCCCTCAATAAACTTTTACTTATTTACAGAGGTGATATTATTATATCCTTGTTTTGAAATAATTTTATAATACAGAGTCCATATATGCATAGCTCATGTCCCAATCAAGAGAACTTAGATAGCATTTCTCTGCTTCACTTTAGGTTCTCAGAAGTACTTTATGGGTACCTAAACCGACATGTTATTGACACATAGGAGTAGCAAAAATAATCTTCAAAAATTTAAAAATAAGGTAACTTTCAAAAAGTTAAACTATCAAAATTCATACACAATAATATGACTTACCACTTATGGAAGTAAATCAAGAAAATATAAAAATAGTTTGGAACAATTGGAAAATACTAAATTTCTAATCGAATTTACCTGAATGTAGTCTCTGCAAAGCAAGACTGTACTATAACTACAATGTAAAAACCAGAGCTCTAATCAATTATATGATTCCCTAGCTGAAGAAAGACTAATCAGGAAGAGGGTGGTCAGCTAGGATGACAGAATAAAACCAAAAGTTATCCATGATTAATTAATATCCTCCATGGAAAAGATAACCTGAATTTAAGGAACTCAAACTTTTCAATCATTGGAAAGGAATACTTTGTTGTAAGACAAAAATGATTCATCAGACTCATGGCCAAAATAAAATGCCCCTCCAAACTATCTACCTTACCTTGCTGTGATTCCATTCTTACCATGCAAATTTCTAATGATTAATTTGGTTTCTCAATCCTGATACAAGAAAGCATGGATTAACCTTTTTGGTACCATCCATAAATCTGGTTTAAGAATGAACTTCCTTATGGAATAGGAAGTTTTTCCAGCCCTCAATCCAAATACACAGGGCTAAATAGCTGTAAGCCCACACAAGATAACTCCCTGCAGTAGCATAGCAAATTGTGGCAAACATTTGGGTCTGTCTCCTACATCTGCCTTTATATATATATTAAGAATTTAGTCCCAAAGAAGTTTGGTAGTTTCCTCCCAAACTTTAGATCTATCTTTCCCTCCAACTCATTTTCTTTTTAATTAACTTACAACACACACACACACACACCCCACCATCTCTAAGAGAAAGTAAAGGGCATTTAGTAAATCCCAACAGGTCTTCCAAAAGTGGCTACTGCACCCTGCTGGATAATTTCACTCTTCCCTTTGAAGTCTAAAACCTTCTAAAACAATTAAATCCTTGATAAAAATCTCAGAGCCCATCTGTATGTTCCAAGGAACCTAGGAAATCAGCCACAAATTCAATAATATAAAATAGCCATGAAAGATTCAGCTTTCTAAGGAAGTATTGAGCAATATAGCCTGTGGTCTTTTACACAAAATCTGAAAACAATCTCTCTTGAGCAGGCATGAAACACTACAAAGTTCCCAATATCACTCAAATCTTTGAAATAGTCTTGTAAAGAAGATAGTTACTTAGAATATTTGGCATCCTTTAAAGGATTCACCCTAAAAAAAGACAAAATGTTTTAAGAACATACAGATTTAACATTTACATTCAAGTTTTAGTTTAACTGTCCTTAAAGCTTGCAAATGGAATATGCAGCAAATAATGTCTTTGTGTAGCCACTTGTCCAAATGTTTACATATATAATGTAAATGCTTCAAGGCCAATACAAATGTTTTTCCATCTAATAAAAAAAACAAAACCCATTCTATTTTCTGGAATGGTTAAATGCAAAAAGTATATTTACAGGTATCTTAGAGAAACACTTTAAAAAAAAAAAGAATATTATTCCCTTTGTCAAAAATCCTTAACTTTTACCAATATATTATATTCTCAATATGAGATTAGTTTATACTGTTACTTCTTATCTCATAGTACTTATCTAACCAGAAATCTAAATTCCTGCAAAGCCTAATCCCAGTTTCTAAGGTTTCAGGCAAGCTGGTATCATTTTGTTTTATTTAAGTTCTATTTTCTCACAGTCTCTCACTCTCATATACTGGTAGAAGAATTGTCAGTATACACCCTGGATAGGTGATGAATGATCAGATCCCACAAATCTCAAATTGAACTTTAGCAAAAGGCATGACTTGGATGGATGTCAAGACCAAATGATTACTATGGAAGCTAAAGTGAAAAGTATTCTCCACTAGACAGTAAGGGCCAGGGAAAGCTGCAATCTTCAATTGAGTCTCATCATGACAATACCTCTTTTATTAACTGACTTTGATGGACTCTTGATAAATCAGAATTCAGGGCAAGTGAAGGAGAGGTAACCAAGGAAGCTACCTTATACTAGGTCATTAAATTATTTTCAACTATAGGCTGGGCACTTCATATCTAATCTAGGTTTGAGTAATATGGCTGAAAATATTAATTTGGAAGTGACCCTTCACTTACCAGACTACATATAGATCTGAACTTTTTATTAAAAACAATAAAAGTGATTTTAAGCTAGAAGAGATATTAAACACCTCCCATTCATTTTGAAACTTAGTAGGCACAGTGCTCTTGAAATAAAAACCAAAATAGAAGCCAACTATTGAGAACACATAAACAGTAAGTTTTTCTGGTTTAATAAGAAGTTGCTTTAAACAGGGTTTTGCAAATCTTGGTTTAAAAAAGACTAATTTAGTTGTAGCTTCAATTTGACAAATGAGGAGAGTTAGGGTCAAGGTTATATAGATGCAGAGAAGCCCTCAAACTCAGACCTTAACTCTTAAAACAATGCTTTTCCTACTAAGTCACTGTGATATCCTGCTGACAGGTTTCCCCTACCCTCTTAATCAGAAATTTCAACTTGTAGTATCATTATTTTTAATAGAAAACATATTTAACAATATTTTTCCATAAGGCCATTATTAATATACACATAATATGCACATGAAGTATCAGAGACCTTCAACACAATGCTTCTAAAAATAAGTCTATTAAACATTATATAAAACATTGTAATTTACCATTTAAAAACTTTGAGCAGCACAAAGCAGCACCCAATGACCATCTTACTCTACCCACTTTTCCAAAGTTCATCTCTTTTCAGAACTATCAAATTTAATTTTAGTATCTTTTCAGATTTTCTCTCTCTCTTGCTCACACTCTCCTCTCCCCCCACACAAATATTCAAATAGAAATATATAGTTTGAGATTTTTTAATATATAGTTTTGAAATTTTGTTATTCAGCTTTATTGAGGTAAAATCTCTATATAACATTTAAATGTGCGATTTTATGAGTTTTGGCCAATACACAGTCATACAACTACTACTATAATAATGATAAAAAACATTTCTATCACCTTTAAAAGTTCCTCATGCCCCTTAACAGTCATTCCCTACCCTCTGTATCTAAAACCCCTGATAACCACTAATTTGCTTTCTGTCACTATAACTTTTCTGGAATTTCATATAAATGAAGTCTTGTTTCAGTTAGCATGACGCTTTTGAGATTCATTCATGCTGTTGCATGTATCAGTAATTCATTCCTTTTATTGCTGAACAGTATCATTATATTTATGTGTGTATGTATATATTTATTTATTCAAACATTTTTTATTAAGCATTTACTACACCTAGGCAGAGTTTTAGGTGATGAGGACACAGCAGCAAAAAAAAAAAAAAACAGGCAAAAATATCTGCTCTTATGAATAATATGTCAATAAAGGAGGCAAACAAACAACAACTAGAAAAATACACAGTATGCCAGTCAGTATTAAGCACTAAAGAGAAAAATCAAGCAGGGAAGAAGGAAAAGACATGTCAGTAAACAGAAAGGGGTACCACTGTAGGTAGAGAGTAGCCAGGGAAGTCCTCACTGGTAAGGTGACAATTGAATAAACACCTAAAAAAAGTAAAAGAGCAAGTTATATGACTATCTGGGAGAAAAGCACTGCAGGCAGAGAACCCAAGTCCCAAGACTCGAAATGCATTTTGTGCATTTTTGTGGAAACAAAAGGCCAGTGTAGCTAGAGATAAATGAATAAAAGTGAGAGTTGTAGCAGTTAAGATCAGAGAGGTAACAGGGTAAGGATGAAGATCATGTACGGTTATATGGGCCATTGGATGGACTTGAATTTTACCTCTAATGAGATGGGAAGTGATTAGACAGTGTGAAAGCAAGGAGTCATATCATTTGACATATAGTTTACAGGATCATTCCGGCTGCAGTGTTGAGAACAAACTGAAAAGGGAAAAAGACCAAAGACTAGTTAAGAGGCCAACACAATTCTAGTTAAAACATAATGGTGGCTTCGACTAGAGTAGCAGTTAAGAAGATGATAAGAAATGGTTATATTTTAGATATATTTCGAAGGTAGAGCCAACAAGTTTTACCGTTTAATCAGAAAGAGGATGTGAATGAATGAGAGACATTAAAAATAACTCCAAGGTTTGTGGCTTAAGCAATCGAAAGAAAGGATTTGGCATTTATAGAAAGAGGAGAGCAGGTCTGAGGAAGAATAACGGGATCTCGGTTTGGGGGTGTTTGAGATTTCAGTTTGAGATACTTAATCAATGATGTGGAGCTAGCGGCATTCATAAGCTAAATGTTAAATTTTCAGCAATTCTACAAGCCAGTTGATATCACATTGATAGCTTAAAATTGGCCACTATCAACGAACTCTATGAATCAGGGCTTTTCTTCCCTTCTCCCAACCCCAAAGTTATTAAACCAGCACATCACTACATCTCAGATATCCAAGTATAAATTATATATATATATTTTTATATATAGGCTATTTTATATATATTTTATATATATTTATATAATATATACATACGCGCGTGCACACACACACACACACACACATATATATATATATATATATATATATAAAAATCTAGAGTTCAGGAGAGAAGTCTGGCCAGAGATAAAAAGTTAGAAGGCTAGGTCCATTTGATTGTGTCTAAAAAAAAAAAAAAAAAGAAGTTGAAGTCATTGAGAATATAGATATTCCTCTTCACCAGGAGAATAAAGAGAGGGAAAAAGGGAGGGTGGGCGGAGGGAGAGAGAGAATGAGAATGAATGAGAGTCACTTCTGGGTAGAACCCATTAAATGTTGGCAAGTCAGGAAGATGAAAAGAAATCAGCAAAGGAGTCTGAAAAGAAGTGTCCAAAAAAGTAGGAGAAATGCCAGGTGAATCTAGTGTTCTGAAAGACAAGACAATATTTCAAATACTACTGATACAGCAAATATTTGACTGACATACCAGCAAAGACAGACTGAGAACTGACCACTGAATGAAGTCATGCAAAGTTATCCATAACCCTATAAATTAATTCAGTTGTAATATAGGACAAAAGCCATATAAAGAGATTAGACAACTCTGTTTTTGTTAAAAGAGAAGGATATAATACTACCAGCAAACTGAACATAAATCCTCTAACCACATAGTTTCCAGTTATCCAATTATGATGAAATATTATGAAATAGCCTATGGCTTGAAAATTCCCCCAAAGATTTTAAGGCAGCCACAGATAGTACATATTTCCTATTACTAATCACAAACACATAATTTTGTTTCTTATTATGTATTAATTTTGTTTTTGCAGTAAGTGGTTGTTGATGAGCTTTCTGAAGACACTCTGCAATTTGAGGAAATTTTTCATAGGTAATCCATATTAAAAATGTTAAACAGAGTGACATCAGCAACATGGTAGAATAGGAAAATCTATACCTTTCTTCTCCTAACAAATACACCAATTTAGCAATACTGTAAGGACAAACTTCCTTTGTGAAAAATCAGAAACTAATTGAAAGTCTCCTGACCCCTGAGAGAATGCAAAACCAGACTCATAAAAGCCAAAAAGAAGATTCAGGACACCCTCCTGCTGAAGACCCTGCTCCTACCACCAAGTGTCATATGATCAGGAAGAAACTCACAGCTCCCAGTTTTACCTAGGAGAGAAAAACATTTGGCTTGCCAGCACACCAACTTCCTTAAGGGGGCTCCCCAGAGACTCTTCCCAGTCCTGAAGCACTGACAGGTTGGGCACAGTCTAGTTGCCAAAGGAATAACAGAGGTAGCAGCTTGAGCTGGTAGACACATTGATCCTACCCCATGTTCAGCAAAAAGCAATTGCAGGAAAAATCTCAGCTCTCAACTTCTCCCTGTTAGGGAAATGAGTTGATCTGTGTGTCCAGTGCCCCAACGGCTCTGGTGCTGCCCAAGATAGCTAAAAGGACTTATGGGAGATCATCAAGCAGATGAATATACACAATATGTGAGTAGCACAATATGTGCTACTGGCCAGCATAAAATTTGCATATTTTTGGCAGATTAAATTTTGATTCAACAATTAGTTCCAATGCCTGTTTTAAAGCAGCCATTGTGCTCTCAAGTATGCCAAGATAGATCCTATAAACTGTACTTGTTATAGAGCTAACTTGGGTATTCAGTTATTAATACATGGGAAGTCCCTCTGTCTCTCAAGCCCAGCTCAAGAGCAGCTCTGAGACTGGAGATTCTCAAAGTCTCTTGTAACTGAAGAAAAGTCAATGGTGTAACAGAGGCTATATAGCTCACTGCAGTGTATCAATGCCCCTTCCGACTATGAAGAACCTTTGTGACTTGAAAGTTCAATGGTAATGAATGTGGCTATTAAATTGTCTAGCTTATTCACCATATTATCCCAGAATCTAACACATTACCTAGTTTATATAATTATTACATATATTTGCAGTATATATTTGTTCACAAGATGAATTCAGAGCTAAGCTAACTGATGGTAAAGAATGTCCAGTGAAGAAGAAAAAACTATCCTCTGTCCAAATAAGTTTGTTAAATATTAATAAAGTCAACAAGTTTCTTTTGTTTAAAAAAGTTACTTGTTTTGAAGTCTTAAAATCTTAATAACCACTGTTCTTGGTGGTCGCATCTAAGCTTTTCCTATGCTTCTATTAGTAAAATGGTAAATTTTACATGGCTGGGGACAAGAGCAAACACCAAGATGGGCAAAGGTTGGAGTGCTGGTGGAGATTAAGGTCGTGGGAGGAGTGGACAGAATCAGGGAGGGCAAAAACACCCTCAAACACCAAGGTAAGCACTTTAAAAATAATTAAATAAGAAGATGAGAGTTGGAGTGTGACTCTGCCAATGGTTACCAATCTTTCTGCTCTGTAAAACCCAAAGAGACCACCAGTGTCAGTCAGCCGAAAGTGGCTTGTTTCCAGTTGGCAAACTGAACTTTTGCTTCCCCCTACCCGCCGGCTCTTCAGCTCTGGTCACCTGTATTCTTTGTCCCGCATGTTCACATCAAGTTTCTTGAGCTGGAGATACTTCCTCAGCTCCTCCGAATCCCCTACTGAAGCAGCTTTGTGAAGTTTCTTTAAATCCTTGTCTCGAAGGTCGTAGCCCAAGCCCATGGGCAGGTCTGAGGAGGTACGGCTGTGGGGCTTTCCCTTCCTCCTCCGGAAGCAGAAAAGCTTCTTCATGGCGCCGCAGGCTGTTGTCCTCAGGTCGGGCCAGGTAGTTTGTGGGTCTCTTAACTGCCTGCTCCGCCTCTCAGCACGTGGCTAACAGCCCCGGGACACCCTCCCCAGAGCAGACTTGTACGGAGACGGGAAGTAGGCTGGGCCCTCCCCTTACCCACTCCTGGCCTAGGCCTGGGCAGGCGTTGGTTGCCAGGCAACACCCAAGACCCCGCGCGCAGCCGTGGTTGTGACCTGGTCCTAGGGACTCCCAGAGCTGAATTCTCACCTAGGACCTTGTCCTGAGTGACACACTCTTACTATTAGATCCTGAGGCTTAGCTTTCTTACAAATAGCCGCTTGTTCTTCAAGGATAGAACTAGTGGTTTGAATTGCAAACTGAGATGACCTTCCTTGTGATGGGCATGAATCTCTTCCGGTGATCTTGCCTCCAGCCTACTCCCAGACTCTCACTTTCGCGGTCACATGCTACAACTCATCTTTAACAATAACCGCAATGCCTCAATTATCTCAATTTCAAACATACTTTTTGAACACCACTTCTTTCATTCCAGTTCACTTTGTCTAGTCACAAAAGTCCTCTGCAAATCGAATTCACTGCATCTATAGTCCATTGATCCTAATCACCATTCTCTAACCTTAACCACCTCATCCTGTGTCCTCGCTTCCATACTGGCTAGATTAAATGCCACGGTCAATCTTTTTGCCACTCCCATGCATATAACTTCAGTAACTTTGCCCCCCATTCCATTTCTTCCTTATTTTCCTAAACTAAATCCCTACTCAAATCTAAACTCTTGTTTTCTGCCCTGAGCTGCTGAATGTGACCAAGGGGAAAAATACAGCCATGCTGTCATCATCTTTCAATTTCAGTTCATGAAATCCACCTGAAGTGGTCTGTTATTTTTCCTAGTAATCCTTTGATATTTCCCTGGTTCATTCACACTCTCACTTCTCTTGACTATTTCATGTCTTCTCTCTCTTCAAACCCCTTGGTTTAATGGCCTTGCTTTCTGATCTATTGAAAAAGAATGGCAATCAGAAGAAAAATTCTACAGACTCCCAAGATATCTGTCCAATTACCTGCACCTTGCCAAAAAATATTTTTCCTTCTCTCTGGTTCATTTAAGTGGCATATTCATGTTCCTAGCAAAGGCCAGTACCACTTTTGCATGAACTAAACCTCATCCTCTCTAGCCGATACAAGGACATTGTTTAGCAAACCCTTCTTCTCTGCTTTCTCAGGTATTCTTAAAGTTTCCCACTCTGTTAACTAATTCTTATTTGCATAAATACATATTAGTATTTGTTCCATCCTAAAAAAACAAACAAGAAATTGACCACATTTCCTCCTAAAATCTTTACCTCAGTTTCTCTCCTTTATGGCAAACTCCTTGGAAGAATTGTCTATAATTTTATAATCTCTGTCTACAATTTTTCTTCCTTTGTTCTCACTTAAAGCAATTCCCATCATTACCTCTTTGCTCCCATCACTTAACTGACACTGATTTTAAGCAAGATTGGTCATGATCTCTATCACATGAAATTCAATTGCCATTTCTGAATTTTCATGTTAATAAAGCAGCATTTGACACAGGTGATCATTGCTTGCTCCTTGAAATACTTTCTATACTTGGCTTCCAAGATATCACATGAGCCTGTTTGATTCCTTTCTTTCTAACCATTTTTTCTCAGTCTAATTTGTTGATTCCTCTTTATCTCCAGTATTGGGGATAAAGGATCAGTTCATCAACAGGTTTATTTTCTTTCCAAATCTTGGAGACATTCTTAAATCTTATCTTTTATAATTACATTTAGTTTACACCTAAACTGCCAGCAAATTCTGTCAACTGTAACTGCCAAATATATCCAGAATTTATTTTATTTTTCCCCCACCTATATTCATTTCTGGGTGATCTTATTCAGTCACGTGGCTTTAAAAGCCATCTATATGCTATTGACTCCCAAACTAAGAGTTCCAGTCTGGTCCCTCTCCTGAACTCCAGACTGGTATATCCAGTTGCCTATTCAATACCTGCATTTGGTTGTTTATATTATAGAGTCTATAGGCATCCCACACTTAACATGCCTCAACTGGCCCTCTAACATTCCATTCTGTCACCATCCTACTTAAGAACAAGTAACTCTGTTCTTCCAGTTGATAGGGTCAAAAGCCTTGATGTCGTTCTTTACTTTTCTCTTGCTGAAAGGCCACATCTAATCAGGCAGCAAATCCTTTTCTACACTATTTCCAAAACACATGCAGAATTTAACCGCTACTATTAGTGTAGTCCAGGCCAACATCATCTTTCTCATTTGCATTGTCTTACTTTAATATCTTACGGTAGAATCCTGACTGATCTTCATGATTCTGCCCTTGTATACTGCCCTGGCCCTGGTCTATTCTCAATCCAGCATCCTGAATGAGTCAGTTAAAGTATCTTCAGATGATGTCACTTCTCTGCTAAAAATTCTCCAATGATTTCTCAAACCCCTCATAGTAAGAGCTAAATTTCTCATAATGATCCACATGGCCCTATATAGTCTATGACCCCAAGTTCCTTTACCTTCACCCTTTACTTCCCTGATCTCAAGTCCTTCCTCTTACAAACTCACATTGCTTCAACCACGGTGGTGTCTTTGTTCCCCAACACATTAGACATGTTCCTGTCTCAGGACTCCTGCCCTTGTTGCTCCCTTTTCCTAAAATTGTGGTCCTGTCACCATAATATAAGCTTCAAGAAGGTAGCTGTTTTTGTATGTTTTATTCCCTGCTACTTCTCAATGCTTAGAACAGGGCTTGATACTTTAAGTGCTCAGTAAATGTTTGTCAAATGAATGGATGTCCTCTGCATCTATTTGCCTTTTTAATTCATGGGTACAATTTTGGGCACACACCTTTTACTTAATTCCATGGAGCAAAAGGAAAAACCAGGCTGTGGTATTAAATAAGAAACTTAGGGGGTGCCTGATGGGAATGAGACTATAGAACTTACTTTTATAAAGTAAAAAAGTTACAGTAAGTTAAGGTTAATTTATAACTGAAGAAAGAAAAATATTTTTCTATAAATTTAGTGTAGCCTAAGTGTACAGTGTTTATAAAGTCTACAGTAGTGTACAGTAATCTCCTAGGCCTTCACATTCACTCACCACTTACTCATTGACTCACCCAGAGCAACTTCTATCCTGCAAGCTCCATTTATGGTAACTTTCTTACACAGGTATACCATTTTTTATCTTTTATACTGTATTTTTACTGTACCTTGTATATGTTTAGATACATAAATACTTACCATTATATTACAATTGGCTACAGTATTCAGTACAGTCATTGGCCATACAGGTTTGTAGCATAGGAGCAATAGGCTATACCATATAGCCTAGGTGTGTAGTAGGCCATATCATCTAGGTTTGTGTAAGGATACTCTGTGATGTTTGTACAACAATGAAATCACCTAAAGATGCATTTTTTCAGAATGTTTCCCTGTTATTAAGCAATACATGACTGTACACACATTGAAGTGTTTTGTTTTTCCAAATCTATCAACTTAATTTAGAGAATGTGTCCTAGTGCATGTCTTAGAATCTCCTGAGTCCAGGAGCAAGAGACTATTGAATTGCTTCTACAGGGTAATAAAGACTTGCAATTCAATTCCCCATTTTGTATTCCAGAATGAATCTTTTATTTGGATGACTGGTGGAGAAAATATCCAGGCCCAGCACAGTGGCTCATGCCTATAATCCTAGAACTCTGAGAGGCTGAGGCCAGAGGATTGCTTGAGGCCAGGAGTTTGAGACAAGCCTGAGCAAGAGCGAGATCTCATCTCTACAAAAATAGAATATTTAGCTTGGTATGGTGGCATATACATATAGTCCCAGCTACTTAGGAGGCCAGGGCAGGAAGATCACTCAAGCCCAGGAGCTTGTGGCTGCAGTGAGCAATGATGTGACACCACTGCACTCTAGCCCCTGTGACAGAATGAGACTATGTCTCACAAAGAAAATAAAAAGAAAAAAAAAAGAAAATATCCAGTCCATTTAGTGCAATTATCTCCTCTACCCAACAGAATAAGCCATCACAACACAACAATCCAATGTCCATATAAGGGATAGAAAAATGTGTGGAGGGATTATTTCCTCAAGGAGCTCCCTTCCATCTTTTCTATGTGGACCCTGTTCCTCCTATTTCTACTACCTTGATTCAGTCTCTTTATCTCTTGCCTAGATTACTACTATGACCTTTTATAGTTTCTGTGCCTTCACTTAAACATCATCCAAACAGTGGTAAGCTGGAGTTGACTCATATCATATCATATCTAGAGTTTGATTGTTTAATATTCTGGGACTGCTTCAGGCTTAAAATTAGAAATGGAAGTATTTACATGATGGAAATTGGCAAACACTAAAAATCAGGGCTTGTTTTCAATACTCATTATAGTATGCCTATTCTGAAAAGTATTGAAGACAGAAAATAGACACTTACAAAAAATAATAATTGAAATCAACTGTTAGAGTATAAGGCAAGACTTAAGGGGAAAAAAATCCTAAATCAATGTGACAAGTTTGTGGGTTTAAAGTGATAAGTGGTTGTTTTTCACATTTGTTTATAGTTTCTATTTTTCTATCCTTTTTACTCATCAGTTTTCTTATTTCTACAATTAACATCAATACTTGTATGTAAAATTCTCCTAAAAGTTTACTGTAAAGAAACTATTCTTCATAGTGAGAACTTCTCTCAAAGAAAAAGAGGAAAGAAAAGAAAGAAAGAAAAGAAAAAAAAGAAAGAAAGAAGAAAAAGAAAAGAAAGAAAAGAAAAGAAAAGAAAAGAAAAGAAAAGAAAAGAAAAGAAAAGAAAAGAAAAAGAAGGACAAGAGAGGGAGGGAGGGAGGGGACAGGGGAGGGAGGGGAGGGGAGGAGAGAGAGAAGAGAGAGGAGAGGAGAGGAGAGGAGAGGAGAGGAGAGGAGAGGAAGGTTGGTTGGTTATTCTTAGGAAGCACAGGAACAGAAATCTCACAAACTTGAAGATCATATCTCTTTTGTTATAATAGTTTCGTTGACTCAACTGAAAATAGATCATTTCTTTTCCAAATTAAGGAATATATTTTTACTATACCCTATAGATTTTACAAAAATTAGAGTTGGCTCCTACTTAAGAAAATTGAAAATTAATAATGAAAAAATTACAACATGATATTCT